ATGGGAGACAAAGACAAAATGTAACAAACTTGGATGATCAACTTCAGGAAAAGAGGAGAAGGCATAGGTATATCCACTGAAGCTAAACATGACTGTGTGGCATAGGATGGTAAAGGAATCAGGCTGTCAAAATCATCATCCTCTTGATCAGATACCCCTGAACAAGGCAAGACAGGATAATCCTCAGGCAAACCAGAAGCCCAAATGAAGGTAGCAAACTCCTGGCGAACCAATGCCATAACATTATTTACTGATAATTGCAGACCCAAAGGCACTATAGACAAAGTAAGGTTAACTGCACACTAACCTCCTGATCATGCCAGGCCTATTTAAACTGTTAAAAAGTGCATAATTATGTGGAATTCTAATTTCAGGAATATAGACTGGGAAAGGTTAAGTGTCAAATCATGAGGAGGAGAAATTCATAGAAACCATTCAGGACGTATTCTTCACCAATTGGGCAGGGAACCTACTAGGAACAGTGCTATATTTTTTGTTAAATTTCAATACAGGAATAGTTGAGAGGGTCACGATTGGGGAACATTTGGGTGCAAGTGATTATAACTATTAGGTTTGATATTTTACAGTATATGGAGATCAGGAATAATCAGATTTTGGTTACAATTTCAAAAAGTAAATTTTGAGGGGATGTGACATGAATTATATATTGTGAATTGGACAACAGAATTAACTGTAGACACTAATCAAATGAGAAAAAAAAATAAAATTATTAAATATTTAAGATAAGCAAAGATAAGATAAACAAAAACATTAAAGAAAAGCAAGGGTTGATCAAACAATAAGTTAGAAAATCAAAAAGGGTGTATGAAAATGTAAAAATTTCTTTAAATACATTAATGGTAAGCAAAATGTTAAGATGGAAGTAAAGCCTTTGTGGGATGTTAAAGGAAGGCTTATACCTGATGGTTATGAGATGATCAGGTTATTAAATTCTACTTTTTCTAGATGGAAATAGATCAAACAAGAAGATCACATTAACTTTGAGCTTGTTAGAAATATATTGAAAATTTTAAAGACCAGATCATATTTGTCAGAGGATTTTGAAGGAGGTTAAGGACTGGATATATGAGCCACTTGTTAC